TTTTTTTTTTTTTTTTTGCGTTTTGAATTTAGGTCATGTGTTAATTTTTGCATCTAGTCTCAGAACAGGTCGATACAAAATTAACACATGATCTAAACCAAAAACACAAAATATATATATAATGCTACTCAAAATTCGGTTTTCCGAGAATCGAATTCTAGCAGCCAAAATTGACAACGCTAGCGACAGAAAAGCTCATAATTCAGTAACAATGAACCGTGAACCATGCTTGAACAGTGAACCGTGAATCATTCTTGAACAGTGAACCGTGCTACTTATAAATAATGTGTAACAGATTTTCTTTGAGTAATTTTTTTTAAATTATATTCCTGTAAAAAATTCTTATTAACATAGTAACATTGTTGAGAATTTGAATTAGTTGAAATAATATTTTAATCAGTTTACACGCATGCAGATTTTAATATTGGTAGAATAACATAATGTGTATATATATCAGTCCAATTTCTCGATCACTGGGAACCTAGTGGGTCATTTTAATATTGGTAATGTCATGGCAATGCACAACACATGATGGCACTCTCAAATGGGAATGCTGAGGCAAGACTATTCCACGGCGTGACCTTCGATTGGCTTCTATGGCATAGTCGAGTATTTGGTGGTTTGAGACTTGTTTAACTTTTGTAGATGGACCACCAGGGTTTTGACGTTTTATATAGAAAAAGATGAACCAATGTTGCGAATATTCCAATTCTTAGATAATAGGTGAGTGTTCATATTTCATAATGATCTGCACTAATTCCATTCCCGGTTTCTGAATCCGGTCACAAACATTTTATATGTCAAATATCAGAAAATTTTGAACTCCAAACCTACAACCAAGCCATTAAACATAAACACTGGCGTCAAGCCATTGAAGATGAACTAGCTGCAATGGAAGTCAACAACACCTGGACAATTCAACCTCTACCTCCTAACAAGAAACCAATTAGTTGTAAATGGCTTTTCAAACTTAAGCCTAATGCTGATGGAACAGTTGCCAAACACAAAGCTCGGCTAGTAGCAAGGGGATTCACTCAACAATATGGCTTGGATTTTCAAGAAACATTCTCTCCTGTAGCAAAGATCACTACCCTTAGAGTTTTACTTGCTTTAGCAGCATCCAAAAACTGGCACCTAGCTCAACTAGATGTCAACAATGCTTTTCTCAATGGTGACCTTGAAGAAGAGATATTCATGAAAATTCCTCAAGGATATGTTTCAACCAACACATGCATAGACTCCACCAAAGCTTCATTAGTTTGTAAACTCAACAGGTCAATTTATGGCTTAAAGCAAGCGTCTAGGAGTTGGTTTAATACTTTCAGCAACACTCTAATCTCACAAGGTTACAAGCAGTCCAAGTATGACTACACTCTATTCACAAAAGGTTCCAGCTCTACATTCATAGTTATTCTAGTGTATGTAGATGATATTGTGCTAGCTAGTCCTAGCCCGCATATGATCCACATGGCCAAAACAATGCTCCAGCAACACTTCAAGCTAAAAGACTTAGGAGATCTCAAATTTTTTTTAGGATTGGAGTTGTCAAAATCGCAGGAAGGCATTTATCTATGTCAACGACACTATGCATTAGCCATTCTTGAAGATTCTGGTATTCTTGCTTGCAAACCTTCAGCCATTCCAATGGAGGCGAATCTTAAACTTCATGCTGAATCAGGAACAAAGCTCCAAGACCCAAGCATATATAGAAGGCTAATTGGGAGACTCTTGTATTTAACAATATCTCGGCCCGATATTTGTTATGCTGTCCACAAGCTGAGTCAATTTGTGTCCAATCCTCACACTGACCACATGAATGCAGCAACATTGTTACTTCGATACCTCAAGCAACATTGTTCACAAGAAGTTCATACTTCTAATAGGAACTTGTTTTCGATGATATACTCGACATGGGACTTTAAAAATTCAACTGGTTAGAGTAAGCGTGTTTAGTTTTCGTTGGAAATTCACAAAATCACGTTCAGCGGAAAAGACAGAAAATGTTACTTTTTGATTTTATGCTTTTTGGAATGAGTGTTTTTTTCATTTAACAAAGTCCAATAATAAAACAAACATGCCATGAGAGAATGACTTTTCCATGATGGTAATTAATAAGCCACAACCACGGTTTCGAATTCTTCAAGCGAGATGAATTTGAAAGGTGTCGAGACTGCGTATTGGTGTGGTGCAAATTTAGAGAGCATAGTTAAGATTGTGAGTGGAGGGTTCTATAGTAAAAGGTACAACCTCACAAACCCCTTTGGATGCTATCACATCCTATTGGATTAAGTGGTCCACAATTAATTATACACTGACTTTTATTTCATTGCGTAGTTATTAAAATATGCAATGGTTTCACCTGTGAAACACGAGACATTAAATTCAGGAATGGTGTATGGTCCATTTAATAAACCTTGGGTGATCCATCTATATGCAGCCTCGGATAAATGATAACCATCCCAGCTAACATATTGCGAAGGATCATCACAAGCAATCACCCCTGCGTCTCCACACTTGGCCGTATCATTGAAATTGTAAGGACCTCCACCTCCACAACAAACTTTCAGAGCATTTCCACCAAACCCTGCAATAACATTCAAGCATATCCAAGCATTACTCTTCCAGAACAAGAGGTCATGTTTTAATGACATACTGAAAGATCATCACAAATATGCTCACAACAAAACTTAGATGCTTTTTTCAAGTATTCTTAGTATTATTCTCCGGTTAGAATTAAAGTTTTACAATTGTAATTTGTATAAAAAAAAAAAGGTTGCATTAAACATAGTAAAAGTTATTAAAGTAAAACACTAATTCTAGTTAGAAAACAAAACCACATTTAAACTTTGTTTGACAGAAAGGAAAAGTCATGGAAAGGAAAGGAGAAGAAGGAATATACATTTCCATTCCGTAGATACATACGAAAATAATAGAGAAAAAAAACTTGTAGACCCACAATAAAATTCGTTTTCTCCAATTCATGATAAATTATTAGGTGGTCTTAATCTTAAATCACATAAAATATATTTGGATACAATTTGAAAGGACTTTTGAGAACTTGTTTATTGAAAATTATAAAGAGTATTTTTTATATAAAAAAAAAATCTTAAAAATCATTGTAAACTTATATCCAGACATGTTCATAGTCTATAACTAATATCTACACTACATGTAATCAATAGGGCCGAACATTCAATAAGACAATTAACGTTAATGCTTAGAGCCCTCAAACTTATAAGACCTCCAATTTTTTTTAATAAATAATATTATTGATATAAATTAATTTTTAAAAAATTAATAATATTTAAGATAAGGTCCAATATTTTATAAGATACATATTTTATATCTTTTATATCTCTTATTTTCTTATTATTAAAATTACTTAAAAGACCACAATCCATTATTAATTTTTGTAAATGAAAAGTCACTTAACATTCAATAGTCACTACTACTTGTCTTTTACAGATGATAGATTTTCAACCTCTTTGTTTCCTCTCTAATCTATCTCTTTCTCATTCTCTCTCCATTCTCATTCTCAATTCATTCTTCGCGTCTAATTTAAGAGCTTGATTGAGAATAATACGGTCCTGTTCTGTCTTTTTTCTTTGTTGATTCCTATTCTATAAAAATCAAGGTGTACAAAAAAGATTGCTGGACATAAACCCTAAAGCATATTATACTCCTTGTCGTTGTCATAATTTGAATTTAGTTCTAGGTGATATGGCAAATTCATGTACTAGAGTTTTTTTTTTTTGAGTTTTGCAACGTATTTATTCTTTGTTTACTTTTTCTACCAAATGGTGAAAAATCTTACAAGAAAATGTATCTAAGTTTTCAGTTAAATCACTATCTCAAACAAGATGGGAATGTAGAATTGAAAGCGTTAAAGCCATAAAGTTTCAAGCACCAAAAATAAGGGATGCATTTGTTCAGTTATCAAAAACTAGTGAAGATTCTAAAATAAAGAGTAAAGTCATGTGTTTAACGACTTATAAGAAGGAAAATTTTGAATTTTTATTGGGAATGAATATTTGGTATGATATATTTTTTGTGGTTAATTCTGTAAGTAAGATCATGCAATCTAAAGATATGCATATAGATGTTGCTATAGATCACTTAAGAGACCTTATAACTTATTTAAAAAATTATAGGGAAAATGGTTTTACATCTGCATTAGAATCTACCAAAGAAATGGTTATTGAAATGGACATAGAGCCTAAGTTCAATGAAAAATGTAAGATTCATAAGAAAAAAACATGTTGATGACATTGATAATGATGAAATAGCTCATTCTACTAAAGATTCTTTTCGCACTAATTATTTTTTTGTATATATTAGATCAATCTATTTCTTCTATTAAGAGTCGATTTGAACAATTTTTAGAATATGAAAACATGTTTGATTTTTTATTTGATTCAAATAAATTTAAAACTTTAGGGGAAGATGAATTGAAAAAATATTGTATCAATCTTGAAAAGATTTTAAGTTTTGAGGACCATTCTGATATTGATAGTCTTGATTTATTTTCAGAATTAAAATTATTGAAAGAAATTCTAACAAATGAAATTAACACACAATTAAAAATATTAAACTATATAAAAAGATCATGTTCTTTTCCAAATACATACATTGCTTATAAAATATTATTAACATTATCCGTAATTGTTGAAAGAAGTTTTTCAAAATTAAAATTGATTAAATCATATTTAAGATCAACTATATTACAATATAGATTGAATGAGTTAACTATATTATCTATTGAGAGTAAGATGTTAGAATTACTTGATTATAAAATTTTAATAAATAATTTTGCAGTTCAAGAAACCAGAAAAATAACATAAAAATTATTAGGCTATATTAACATAGACTATTATCTTAATTTTTGCCTAAAGCCCCAAAATTTTTTAGATACGGCCCTGGTAATCAAATATTATTAATTTTTCACATAAAGTAAAAAACAATAATGCATCTCATGTAATAATTGATTAAGACAATGGATATTTGATAGTCTAATAATTTCTTCCAATTTAGGAGAAAGCTACAAAAAAGAGAGTAAAATATTAAAATGACTATGTCCTTCCTAATTATATCATATACAAACAAAAATAGTATATCTCATTTTTATTAAAGTCATTTATGTCATTTACAATTATACTTCTTTGAATTCTCTCACTATTTTCTTATCTTTTCTCTCCTACTACCAAACAACTAAATAGTAATCTTATTTTCAACTTATTTTTTCTTCTTCTCATTTTCTTTCCTGTATCTTTCTATTATAAAGCAATCAAACCAGTCTAAATCTAAGTATTGTTCGTATAATAAGTCTGAACTCAAGCAATCAACCTGAAATTTAGTGTCATTGTATTCAATCATATTAATTATTTCAATCAGTACTACTAACTAATGGCACATGGATAGACAGAACTTTTCTGTTTACTTGCAAGCCAGAAACGTTGATATGGCATAAAAAGCTAAAAGGATAGATTTACCAAATTGTTGTGGAGAATTGTAAAACTGCATTGCAGCGTTGAAGTAATCTGCATAAATGATGTTGGTAAGAGGATATAGCACTCGGAGCCTATTTAGTTCAATTTGAAGCAGCTCATTGTGGTTTTCATAAAACATGTTCAACCATTTCAAACATCCAGCTTGGTCATACTCCTCTTCATCTATAGTTGCAAACCTTGTTAAATAGGCTGGATTGCATCCAAGTGGCAAACTTCCAGGAGCCATAATCGTTACAGCCCCTAAATCAATCAACTCCTGCATAGATTAATAAACTAACCAATAATTATTATGGTCATGTTTTTTCCTTTTTTCTTTGCTTCATACATTTATGTTCCTTGCCTCCTTCTACTCATTTCACACTCCATAAAAGGGAGTGAAAAACCCATCATCAATTCATTAATTAAAGTGGTATTTGAACTTGAAAAGTGATCATCAGAAAGGCTACCACTCAACAATCGAATCAAATTCTTACCCTGATCGCTGAAATGATTACAGATATTACTTGGGGTATGTAAGTCAAAAGATCTGCAAATTTGGTTGTTTCTGACAAGGGATAGCCATAATCATTGCCTCCAATCTCTCCCATAACAAATAAGGAGCTGCCAATAATTTTTTTGCAGCCTGCAAGAGTGAAATCCCATATGCCATTGGAAATAACTAGGAGTAGGAATAAATAACCAACATGCTGACAACAGTCGCAGAATAATTATGAGAATCAATCCTTGCTCATCAAATTTTAAGACTCGTTTAACTACTTCCCCTTCATCCTTATAATTTGAAGAGTTATAGATGACAACAATTGATTAGAGGGATTTTAAACTATTCTTAATTTCTAATAAATACCTAAAGAGCAAATAAGTGCTTGAAAATCTTAAATATTTAAATACTACGCTGGGCTAACCTACTGAATATACTAGACCAAACTTTTTCATTTTAATTTATCTTCGGATCCTTCTCCCTGTCAATTCTCAAACTGCATACTTTATTTGGTTCATATGAAACAATATTAACTTCATTTTAATAAATATAAATTTTCTTACATTATCGATCAATTAAAAGTTACTTCATATATAACTTTAAAATAAGAGTTAATCACCTATACACGGTCAGTGTAAAGTTTTTTTACACTGACAACCAATTATATCTTTTAATTGTATCATGTCACTGTTAAAAATAAATATGTTTACAGTGATATGACACAATTAAAAGATATAATTAGTTGTCAATGTAAAAAATCTTTATACTAACAATATATAGGTGATTAGTTCTTAAAATAATTACTCCAAAAGTTACTAATCTTTTCATATATGAAAGATCCTGAGTAGGTAACAAAGTAAAAGCCTTTTAAGTGCATTAAAATTACATTTCATATATATAAGGATTGAAAATATCCAACAAAAAGTTTAATTAGAATGCAGGCAATGCAGTAACTTTTACACATTCAATCATTTTTTTTATTTTGTAATAATTATTTAAAAGTGGGTGACATTTCTAATTGAGTTAATCACTTATACATTGTCAGTGTAAAGTTTTTTTACACTAATAACTAATTATATCATTTAATTGTGTCATGTTACTATAAATAAATTTATTTTTAACAATGACATGATATAATTAGTTGTCAGTGTAAAGTTTACATCCACAGTGTATATTCTTATTAGTCTATCAAAGCTACAAAAGTGAAGAAAAGATATAACTTCACTTGAAGACGCATTGCAGAGAGAAGGCAGCAACTCCTTGAACCAATTCAACTGAACCCTCAGGGAAAAGTTAGCAGTGGCACCAACAGCGAACCCCTTCTCTTCAAAGAAGCGGCGGTCCAACGCGGTGGCTCCGGCGACCGCAAAATTCACTCCCTGCTCAATATTCCGGCGTTTCACCGCCCCATGCTTGAAACCCAGATAGGGTTCCACGTAGGGAAGCCCCAGATACTCAGCTTCACAGAAAACAGTAAAAAGAATGAATTTTTATGCAGTAATTGGTTGAAAAAGAAGTGGGTATGGTAGAATACCAATGAAATCGAGAATAAGGCGTCCATCGGAGCATCGTCCATTGGGGTGGTGAAAATGGGTTAGCCCGTAGGGAGAGACCAAACAATTGGGGCTCTGCGGTGAGGAAATGAAATACAAGTTGCCCGTATCAGTGAGGGAATCTCCGAAGCTGAAGAGTGAGGTATAGTAATTGCAAGCAGTGGCAGTGACAGTGACGAGAAATAGTAGTGGTAGCACAAGCACAACACTTAACAACCATTGTTGTTGTCGCAGTGACGAAATTTTAGTGGACAGAGGCATGGTATGGCTGATCAATCATGGATGCTTCGCTTGCACATTTGTGGTAGGTAGAGACTTAGAGTGGACTCTGTTACTTAAGTTAGGAACTCCAACCATTGAAAATAAAAACTTGTAATTTATATCTTTTTAACTATCCGTTAAATTCTTGATAACAATTTGGCCAAAACGGTTAGTTAGAATATTTTAAAATTTTAATTTAATTTTACTTTAATCTAAATTAAATTCAATTTAGACTCACTTATTAAAAATATTATTAATATTTATCTTTTGTCTAAATTTTTTAAACGTCATTTAAAAGTGTCCATGTGATTGAAAATTATGGACGTAGTTCTCACAATTTTTACTTAGTATATTTTTTATGTGATTCATACCGTAGAAATCATGCACGGACGTGATTCTCACGACTCTTTAACGATTTTTAAGAAATTTAGATGAAAAAATATATATTGTTAGTATTTTTTTATAAATGAGATTAAATTAAACACAAAAATTAAAGTAAGACTAAATTAAAATTTTAAAATATTATAAGAGAATAAACTAACATTTTAGCTTAATAATTTTATAAATGGATCAAAGAGTACCACTCCATTTTCACGTTTCATTTAAAAAAAATGCAAGAGTCAAAGATAAATCATTCGTTATAAAAATATATCTACTTTTTTACTTATCAAAATTATAATAATGACACTAAAATAATTCAATTTTAAAATTATGTATATATTATCTCAACCATTATTATTAAAAGGACTCTATTCATTCAGATTAAAAATACACCTACTTTAGTGTGAAACCATACTTTCGAGGAATAAAGTCGATTTCAATAGTGATGATTGTTCGTTTGCATAATTTTGATGCTAGATAATAATAGAATTTAACCAATAAAGTATGAGATATTTTTGGTGACTTTGTAGTAAATATCAAGTTCTTTAATGTGATATTTAGAGTGTTTTTTTTAATGTAAAGAATTTAAAAACTCTTTTAATTAAAATAATTTTTTTAGTTAATACGATAACTTATTTTATAAATTTGTAATTTATTTTCATAAGTTAATTAAGATAGTTTATATTTTATAAGTTTTTAATTTTTCTTTTTTTTTTTCTTTTTTTATTAATTTACTTGAAATATATATATATATATATATATATATATATACTTATTTATTTTTTTTAATTTAGAAACCATTTTTTCTATATTTTTTTTTCTCACTGTCCTTATTAAATAAATGTCTTTTATATTAACTACCTAACTTATTAGTTTATCTTATCAAACACTTTCAATTTAATAATTAATGTGTAATTTTTAAAATTTTCAATTCCTAACCTATAATTTATAAGCTTTCCGCTAATTATAAGTTGGTTTTACCAAATACAGACATGTTTTTAGTAATGATATAAGCTTTTCTTGTAAGCTAAAAAAAACTTAGCACTAGTTAAAATGAGTTTTTTAACAAGTTAAATGGATTTAAATCTAAAAAAATGAATTTTATTTTATAATTTTTTTCATTTTTCTTCTTATTATTTTTCAAGTTTAAGATGCAATTTATTTGAATATAACTTTATTCTAAAGTACAATGTTGAATTCTTTTTTATGCTGTTAAACCTTGATTTTTCAACTTATCTTCAAAATGGAGGAATGACACTTGCGACAATAAATATTTGGTTGTTAGAATGATGATACTCATAGTGAATAGCAACAAGGATGATGAAGTGAATGGTGGTGGATAAAATGTTGGTGTTTCGTGGAGAATTTCGTAGCATTGTTTTATATGGAAGATTTACTTTCTATTTGGTAGCAAGGAAAGAAATCCTAATTTTAGAGTAAGCTCAATATTAGATTTTCTTCTGTTGTGCTACCTCATAAATACAAAAATTAAAAGTGTTTTATCTAAAGGACGTTTAAGATTTATTTTAGGCAAATCCTCAAAGTCAAAATATTCAAGAGTATAATCTATTTCTTAGGTACAGGATTTTAGACTTTATATTTATTTGTTCATGAGTTTTATAGGTCCCAGTAATCCTAGAATTTTATATGGTGATTTTAGTTGAGATTTTGATCAACAAAGATAAGATTTTATTTATGATTAGGATTTATGTCACGAAGTTATTCTGACTTTCCTCGCTTGGGGTAATGTGCATTAAGTCATCGATCCATTACCGATTCATCTCTTACTTCCCCTTGGCCGAAGTCTTAGTGTACTCGGTTGGGGGTCTCGTCTCGAGACCCTTGGTAAGACCCTCCTCAGCAAAGTCATTTCGGTAACACCATTTCAGAATTTTTTCGGGATGATACAAAAAGTATTAAATAAAAAATAAAAATAAAAAGATAAGTAAATAATGTAAAAAATAGTGATCAAGAATAAAAGAATTATGAAAGGATAGGTAAATGACATAGACAACAAAGATAAACAAAGATTAGAGATAGAATATTGATCACGCTAAAAGGAAAAGTGATGAAAATGATCTTAATTCAATAATAATAAAAAGTCAAAAGATGACACTATTTTTTATAACATTGTTAAATCATCAATAGATCATTATTAGAATTTGATATATTTATAAATGAGAAATACTAGTAACACATTTTTTTATATACTCTTTTAAATACATTCTCTTTAATCGGATGAAATTTATTAAAAATATAATTTTTGGTAATTTCACAACTTATTTAATGTTTCTCTCTCTTGATTTTATAAATTTCAATAAATTCTTACAAATGAAAGTGAGTGTGTTTAAAAAGAATATGTTGCTAACTAGGGGTGGGTATACGGACCGGTCCGGCCCGTTTAAGGCCCGGTTCGTAAAACCCGCGTTTTATACGAGCCGGATAAGTCCGGTCCGTAAAATAAATGAATTTCTTTTTTAAGTCCGTATCCGGCCTGCCAAAATTCGCAGATAACGGACCGGTCCACAGGCCTAAATAATGGTTCAAAAAAATAATTTTTTTAAAAATAAAAATACATAAAATTAGAAGAAAAAAAATATTTTTTATTTATAAGCTAAATTTTATCATACTAAAATTTATCAATAGTTAAAATGATTTAAAATACTAAATATTAAAATATTAAAATAAAAATAATTACAAATACTTAAATAATAATACTAAACTTTCAATAATAAAAGCATCAAAATGTTATAAAAATAATTCAAATGACAAATATATACCAACTAAACATAACTTTAATGTCATAATAATTTTAAAAAATTAAATACACAACTTAATATTAAAATCATAATATTTAAAAATATTAAATGTGAAGTCTGCGGACTAGCCCGCGAACCCGCGGATTAAATCTGCCAAGTCCGCGGACTTAACGGGCCGGGTTCAAAAATTAGACATAATCATACGGATTTGAAAAAAATGGGTCCATTATCCGCAAAATTCGCGGGCTTACGGATCAGTCCGCGGACCCACTCCTATTGCTAACACTCCTGATTTGTACATTTTCATTGAATTTATATTAGTATCATTAAGCATTTTCTTAACAAATAAAACTTTTGATTTCATTATCATTGTCTTCTTAAAAGATTAAGATTGTAAAAATTGATAATTATATTCTTGAAATATATGTATGTCATAAACAGACCATGTAATAGTGGTAACTATATTGAATTTATTTCATTTCATTTGAAAAGAAGAAACAATTTAGCTATGGAAATAGCCAGAGCTTACATTCATCAAGCACAAGGTACTAATTTGAGGAAGAGAATATGGTCCTTTCATCAAACCATTAGCAATCAATCTGTATGCAGCCTCAGTCAAATGAACACCATCCCACCCAATATGCTTAGAAGGATCATCGCAAGCAATCACGCCTGGATTTCCACAATCTACTGATTCATTGTAATTGTATGGACCTCCCATTCCACAACAAATTTCAAGACCAGTAAAACCTGCATAGGCATCAAAATATTATAGTCATGAAGCAATGCATTAATTGTGACAGCATTATTTAGAACAAACTTCCACTAAATTATAATAGTCGGTAGTTGAGAAGGTTAATTGAATTACCAAACTTTTTGGGATCTTGAAATAATGGCAATGCAGCATTGTAATGATCAGCATAAACAATATTAGCATGAGGATGAAATCCTCGAAGCCTATGTAATTCACTCTGGAGCTTCTGATTGTAATATTCAGCAAAATGATTTAACCACTTCAAACACCCATATTGGTCATATTGGTTCTTATCCATGGTTTCATATTTTGTTAAATACAGTGCATTACATCCCAGTGGAAAATTCCCGGGAACTATGAGCGTGCGAGCCCCTAAACTAATCAACTCCTGTAAAGAAACAAAATACAAATAACAAAATCTGGTGGCCTGAATTTTTAGAAGATTAATGTGATAACATGCAATTTTGAAGACCTAATTAAGGATTAATCAAACGAAACTAAAATCTTACATTGATGGTTGAAGCTATTGCATTGATTACATACGGCACATACGTTTTAACCTCTGCTATGCTCTTTCGTATAAACAAAGGATAATTGAAATCATTGCCTCCAATTTCACCCACAAGAAATAACGAGTTTCCAATTACTTCATGACAGTCTGCAAATTTAAACCTTTATTCAGAAATCAGTATTATCAAGCTAGATTTTTAAGGCATGGGATTGTAACTTTTGTCTTCACTTTCTATAAACCAGAGCTCATTTTCATGTAGGATATTAAAATTTATATTAGCGAAGAGGCTTTAGGATAAGAGTTTGATAAGATGTCTCGAATCTAAGACGATGAAAGGTACACAATCCCACAAGCTTGAAGCTATTAACAAAGAAGCTTTGGGATAAGAGTTCAATAGGATGTCTCGGATTTAGGACAATCACATGTACAAGTTTAAATTTTGTATATGAAAAAAATGTAGATGAAAAATAAGACTTTATTAAAAATGACCAACTAAATTTTTTAATGGAGATTAGTTATCAATAATATTTAGTAAAACTTTGCACTAATAATATAGTTATCCAAAAATACACTTGAGATTTTTTTTTCTACGAGATAATTTAAGATTAATCAAAAAATCATTATTAATTATGACTCTTAATGTATTTATTACAAGGTTTAAAAATTCATTTGGTTATTTGATTCTTATAGTTTATGAATTTTACTTTTTAATTTTTATAGTTAAAAATATTTAATTTTAGTTTTTATACATATTATATTTTTTTTCTTTTTAATCCTATTATTTCATAGACATGATAATTCTTATTATAACAAATAGATTATTGCAAAGAGTAAAATAAAATAATACTATATATAAAAAGAGGAGATCTGTTTACTTTAAGAATAAGTGTAACTCATATTTTATATTAAATTTTAATAATTTAATCATTAAATTAAAATTTTTATACATATATATCTGTAAATTTTTAAAAAATGAAAATTATTTAATATTTTATTTTATTAATTTAAATTAATATATAAAATAATTTTATGATTACGGTGGTTTATAAAGATGAGAAAAAATAGTTGAAAAGTTACTTGCAGAAGAGTGGCAGAGATGATGAAGCAAATCCTTGAACCAATTCAATTGAACTGTCAAAGAATAATTGGTTGGGATATGAATGCCCCTTTCTTCAAAGAAAGAGGACTCTAACGCCGTGGCTCCAATAACAGCAAAATTGGCTCCTCCTTCCGCCTTCCATCCTTTCATTCCCAAATACGGTTTCACCATTGGAATTTCCAGCCACTCAGCTATTCAACAAAACAAAAACGGTTAGAGAAACAAACAGTGAGAGAGATCCATATGTTTATTTATTTATTTATACCGATGAAATCGATGATGAGGCGGCCATCGGAGCAGCGTCCAGAGGGATGGTGGAAGAAGGTTTCGCCGTACGGAGGGAAGAAGCAATGGTTAGAGGGTGACTCCGAGCTCAGAAACAAGTTGCCGGTGTCGGCCAGGGAATCGCCGAAGCTGAAAATCGAAGAGAAGGGGCATGCCGTTGCCGTTGAAAAGAGTGATGAAGAAGCTATCACAAATGCAATTGCAATAACTGACCACATTGGAATGTGTTGTCCTCTTTAAACATCAATTAATAAAATTTGGGATTTGGGAATGATACTTATACAGAAAAGTTAACGACGTCTACGGTATCAATGTAAAAAAATTTTCTACCGATAATTAATTATATCTTTTATATGTCACGTTATTATAAATATTTATTTTTAATAGTGATATGATATAATTAAAAGATATAATTTGTTATTAATGTAAAAAAATTTACACTAACTTTACATTGATAGTATATAAGTAATTAACTCTTAAAATTTTTTACACCGATAACTGATCATATTTTTTAATAGTACCATATTATTTACTTTTTAATGAAATAAAAATAAAATAAAATATTTTAAAAAATATGATTGATTACAAGTGTAAAAAAACTTTATACTAACAATGTGTATAAATAAATAACTTTTTTTTTAAACAGCTGACGTACTAGCCTTAGTTAAGGAGAAAATTTTCAAGATAATATTTATTTTTTATATTACACAAGATATCCCTATAAGCATCATTAAGAAACTAATTCATGAGTCAAGGATGATAGTCAACTAAATTAACCATCAAATATTATTATTATTATTATTATTATTATTATTATTATTACTAATATAGTGTTTTATTAAAAAAAAATTAAGAATATTATTAGAAAAGATCATTATTACTTTTACGATAATATAAAACTGATGTATTATATTTATGGGGTAATACTAATATTTTAAATTTATTTGGTGTTAAAATATAAATATATAAAACTGGTTATAACTTGTGTAGAGATACTCAGTACTCACCCGAAACTTACAAAGTACAAAATCCACTTTCTATAAGCAAATTAACTACATTCCTCATTCCTCAGCTCAGCTGGTAACTATTTTTATCCTATCCCCTCACTCTCAAAAAAAAAATACTAGTGTTTGGTTTGTAGATAACAACTCTCCAATCGTCCTTTAAAAAAAAAAAAAACTTATTTCTTAGTTTTGTACATTAAAAAGTGAAAATTTCTGTTTACAGGTTTTTCAAGTACACACTACACAGCGTAAGCATGAAGTCCAATCTGTCATGTATTTAAAATAATAAATAAAAAAGATGGTCATTAGTGAGCTGGTGTGTAACCTATTTTTCTAAATAACTTATCTAGTTAAATTTTTTACTCTTGCTGATAAAGACTTGAAATAGAATTCAATTTTTTTTCTTCATATTTTATATATATATATTTTTTATAAATTTACGTTAAAGATATGATAGATAATATGGAACCGTCGTCTTAAAAACATTTTTGATTTATTCTAACTTTGTATGAGGTTGTATCTTATCTTAAGTTAAATCAATTTTATGATTATTTATCGATATGAATAATAAATGAAGTATAAAATAATTTTTAAATTTTTTAAAAATTTACAGATTTAATTTATACATTAAAAACTGTAACGATTAGATCGTTAAAATTGTATATAGAATATGAATTATAAAACGAAATAAATCAAGATAGATTTAACTTTTGAAGTAAATAGATATTATATATATATATATATATATATATATATATATATATATATATATATAAATATATGTGCACACGTTTTTGTGTGTGATGTACACATATTTTATTTTTGGACATTAACTATGTCTCAATATCCGTATTTCTATCGTGTCTATATCATATTCTATAATTCCATATAAGTTAACCTTCTAAAATGTTATCTTTTAAAAGATATACCATAAAACTATTAAACTTATCAAAACATACCTTTATTAACCCACAAATTTATAATTATAATTTATGGGCTAATTAATTGAGTAAAAGTTTTAGGACGATCATACGAAACCTGTTTGGTTTTAGTGTTACAGATTTTCAAATCAGTTTACAGCTTCTTTAAAATTATCAAAAATCAAGTGCTTGATGTTCAACTACAAAACACATAACCCCAAGCGTGTGGTTCAGCGGTAGGGGTTGATTCACGTTTAAGCAAGGTTAGGAATTCGAATCCTGCCTTGTGTATGCAGCCGCATTAAATCTTGGGGCCAGCTATCCCACCCTTTGAGGTGCCTCCAACGTAGCAAGAAGATTAGTCACTGCTGTCGGCGGTGGATACTCCAGGGACGAACCAAAAAAAAAAAAAAAACTACAAAACACATCCGCCACATGTATTGGTTTGGTGTCAATTCAAAACACATCCACCACATATATTGGTTTGGTGTCAATTTTAATTCTTTCATTTTCTATCGATATGTCCAAGAAAGCCTAATTCAATGGTCATTGACAATTGAGACTTGAAAGGTTACTAAAATAATTTATTTCGTAACAAAATGCATGTAAAATCACAATTCAAAGAATTAGAGGTATATATGGCTAGTCTCAAATTCCAAATCCTTTGTCATTTTAGAAAGAAAAACAGTGAATAAAAGTAATTACGAGGGACCTTTGGGATGGGTTGTGAATTCTGCCTGGGTGTTTTTGGCTGCGGTTAAAGAATATATGTGCATAGCAGAGGATATATGAGTTAAAAATAAGGCGCATGAGATTTGTGAAGACTTGTTGGTGCAGGATGTTAGTATGATGTTGGGACACTTTTGGAGTGGTGAAAATCTGTATAGTAGGTTCAATTAGTTGTCCAAAAGGAAATATGTTTGACAATTGGCTTACAACATGTTATTTTGAAAGAAGTTGGATAGCTTTTGGATTGATCACATATTTGTATTTATGTTTTTGATGGAGAATCATATGATGTACGATTCTTATATTTTGTGTATTGTGGTATCATGAATTGGCACGTTTTGTGGTTTTGGGTTTTTCTTGATAACACTTTTGCTTATCCAAAAAAGTATAGAGACTTTTCCTACCTTGAATTCAGATTTTGTTTATCCTAAAATTTCAACAAACAAATAATATAACTATATAAGTGAATTTGTCATTTTCTATCCCCTTAAATTACTTTTTTTTTAGCTACACATGATTTTTGTTTCCTTTTCTCGATTAAACAGTAAACTTTAAGAAAATATTTTATTATACAAATACTAAACTATTCTCGTTTTTCCCTATTTCAAAATATTTATATAAAATCTTAAAATGACTTTTGACCTATTTACTTCCTCGTAGAATCAGATTAATTTAAAATGAAATCTTATAATATTGATATAAAATCAAAAAATATAAGAAATAGAAGACAATAAAATATTTTTGTATCATTTCTGTACAAATATTTAAAGACAATAAAATGTGGAGAAAAAAAATTTATATATATATATACATAATTTTTTTTTTCTAAATCAAACAATCAAAACATCAAGCAAAACTAAAGTACACCTTGAGTAAGGGATTAACATTTGTTCCCATTTTATGGAAGAGCAATGCTTAATAGTACCAGACGAAAGGCATGATAGGCATCTCAGTTTTGCTCAATATCAATCTGTGTTATAAAATACCTTCTTTGATTCAATTAACAATTCTAATATACAGGATCTTGTTATAAAACAAGATTATTTCATGATTACAACAGCACGAGAAAACAGATACAAATCTGGAAAAGGAAGCATTTATTTCAACTTATTTTGCATTTTATCCTAATCTATTCAACAAAATACACAAATTGTAAGAAGGAAATAATTAGGGGTGGATTTTCTATTGTGGATTAGGAGGACGGCTGTTAGCAGCAGCAACTCGGGATCCCCATTCCAGCAATTCTTTGCTGGTGTCATCCTTGTGCACAAAAACTTCAATAAAACAAAGTGACTCTTTCTGTGGTCCAGTAGCTGTTTCAATTGCTTCTAACAGATCATCCTCTGTACGTACCTACATCCATAACAATAACAAGTCCTTTAGTACCACGAGCAAACAACTAATAAAAGGAAATTCTGAGGTATTTCAAGAGCAGAAATATACCAGTCTACCAACTCTTGTTAATTAACTTTTTTTTTTCCTTCTCTTTGTACTTTTTAGTTCATTGGACTAAACAAATCCGCGATGTATACATGAATTTGCAGTATAAAAATCAGTATGGTCTTAAAATAATATCCATTTTCAAATGGATTCCTACTTTCCTTATTTTACTATATCTTAGTTTGGAATAATACAATCCGAGTCAGGGACTATATGGCTATGAAGTACAAACAAAGGAGCTATTTTTCTCAAAGAACAATCTTCAATCTGTATCTGTCTAGAGCATGCTATTCACTAACAAATAAACAGAGTCCAGCCATCTAAAATTAGCATAGTATATTAAAGAAAGATCAGTGATTGCACAAGGCAGTAGCACATAAGGCCATCCCATACAGTAATAAATGGAAAATATAAGAATCCTCGCCATTGTCTGTAGTTCTACTTCATTAAAATTTAAAAGATTAAATCAAATGTAAAGCGTAGAACCTTCAACAAACATACTAACACGGTAACACAAGGTAAATTATTCAAACGTGAAGTACGCTTTCAGTTCATGTTACTATAATTAAATTTGGTTTTAGTCCTCAATTTATTTATTTTTGTCGATTTTGATCCTTAAATTTTAAAAGGTTCCAAAATAGTTCCTATTACTACTCACTGAAAGGGCATGTATTTGTACATGACACAAATTACATGCAACATCACAACACTAAGTAATGACAAGACCATTTTCAAAAAAAATTAAAATATATAAGTACCAAAGCTAATTAAGAAAATTAGAGGAGTAAAACCAAATTTAACCATATTTAATGCATTATACAATTTATGCTAACCTTAGTAGCCCAGCATTTGCCTTGTCCATTGTGGATAGCTTCCACAAAGCGAGTGTAATCCCAATTCTTGATCACGTTGTATGGGCCATCATGAATCTCAACTTCAATTGTATAACCTCCATTATTAATGAGAAAGATGATGCTCTTTTGTCCACAGCGAATCATTGTTGAAATATCCTGTGCTGTCACCTAAATAAGGGAAGAGGGGTGCTATTTAGTATGAGATCTATCGGTACAAAACACATGCGAATTTAAAATTAGCCAATCAAAATAGTGTGGAACCATTCACCTAGAAACGGTAATAAAACAGTCTCTAACTAAATTCATGCCACTTGA